GGTAAGCGACATATCGGGAGCTATTTCCGATTGGTAAGCGACATATCGGGAGCTATTGCCGATTGGTAAGCGACATATCGAGAGCTGTTGCCGATCGGTAAGCGACATTTGTTAGCAGGAATTCGCACTAACGCAAAAGCAACGCACATTGATGGAATTAATTATGGAATTTTTATTCCTACAAAATCCATTCCTGTTAGAGGAGACTCTGGTGATAAAGATTACATTAACGTTGCGTACAGACTTGTAAAAACAATTTCACACAACAGTCCATTTTCTTACATACATGCAGCATGCAGATGGGTACCCCAAATGGTATGATGATGGGATTACCACCTGTGCCTCCACAACAACAGTACTACGGTCAACAGCAGATCTACTCCTCCATTCAACCAATCCCACATTCTGGAACTGGTAATGTGTATCCAGTGGAGATCAAACACCTTGAGGTAATGACCTCGCCCTCTATAGTTGTAATGATGCATTCAGTTTAGTAGTATTCCGCCCAGTCGGGGAAACAAGTATTTTCATTGGATTTAATTTTCACAGATTCTCGGCTTTAGTCATAATATGTATTCTGGGGCAGACATCCAAGCATTTTCACGCCCAACAACCATCATGGTGAAAACAAAGACTGAAAACACACAAAAAATTGTACTAGTTATTTAGAACTCTTACAAACAGTGTAACAAGACTACACATTTGCAAGATGTATGAATTTGGTTGATCAAGATTACTTCAAAGTTGAGATTGCAGCGTTTTCTTGCTTTCATCGGCTCTTCAACTGCCGTTCCATAGCATCTTGGGTAGGAACCATATAAATACATGGTACAGTGGTTTATATCTTAGCAACATAGATCGTTCTGTGACGTAGCCCCGCCCTCAAGACTTCTTCATAATACATGTAGTAGTACACTAGATGACTACTAGATGCTTCACCATGTTCATAAACTCAGATCTAATCATGTTTGTCTACAGGCCAGTACTGCAAGAACAGTTAGCCCAGATCAGTTAACAGAACTTCCATTCACACCGGTACATGCTCCAATTATGCCAGTGGGTCAGTTACAACAAACCGGACCCTCACTGACAAGGGCATCCTATGCCAGACTTTACCAGGCTGGATTTCCACCAGTACTGGATAGGAACGGTGAGCCGCCAGAAGTGGTGGATCCTAACGACTATGTCACTTTCCACCCACAACATGAAGATGCAGATCCATTACAAATCAATGAAATCGTATTACAATTCCTGGCATTTTCAAGGTTAGTATATTCCTCTTACATTCTGAAGCTAGGTCTCACATCATAATTAACAATTGTATTCATTCAAGTGGTCACACGGTGATGCCCATAATTTTTAAACCACATTTTATCAAATATAAAGATACTTGCATGAGCAACTATTATTAATATAATCGTTAACATAATTGTATTAGTCGACTAACGTACATCATACCGTATCCTAATTTATGCTTTATTTCATTTTCTAGAATGGTGCAGTTTGAGAATCAGGGCCAACCAAGACAACATAATACCATATTCTTCACTTTCCAGTTCTACAGATACCCACAAATTACAACAGAAAGGTATGTGTGTATGTTAAAGGTATGGGACTAATAGCGATGTACACAATGCATGTAAAAGACATGAAATTTGAACATGCATGGTGTGACGACCACCACCCTTTAAATATTAAAGCTATAGTGTGTGACATAAGGATGATTGGTTCCTTTCTCCGTGGTGTGGCTAAAATCAAGTCTTTATCTGGTCAACTTAAAAGTATGAAAGTAATAAATGTACATAGAGCTGGTAAAATAAGGGGATAGAGCAAGGTAGTTGTCACCTGCACAAACGGCAGATGGCCATAGTGTGTCAATGTTTACAAACAAGTGTCTCTAGCCATGCGTTTTTAGCACGTGTTGTTATTGCCACTTGGGACTCCATTCTCACGAGTGCGCAGGTGATGACCCTTTCGCTGTAAATAATAAAAGTAATAACAATGAAAAACCAACTAAGTTATTAATTAATAACTGCCCTCATTCTCAACCTTTCATATTCTTTTGTTTTTATACAGGTTATTTTTAGGGGAAGTAGATGGTGGCTTATCTGCTGATCCATCCTCCTTGCCATGTATTTTACAAAAACTTAGTAAAGATGGTACTATATTGGAAGGTCCTCCTGGTGTTACTGTAAGTATAAAATAAAGTTGAATCAGACATTCTTCAATGCTCTACTGTAAAATATTGTATTTTATTTTCGTTTGGAATTTATTTTTGATATTTTTGCTGAAGGGATGATTCAGTTGAAATAAAATCCAGCGAATATACCTTTTTTTCTCTATTTTATATTTAACTCAACAGTCAGTGAAAATAAACTCCATACAAAACCGCTAAAATAAAGTGTTTACAAAATAAGTTTCAACTTAACTGACATGCTTCGAATGTAATAACATGCTGCCCTCAATGTTATTTCTTAGAACATACCTGGAACTTCCAAAAGGCTGTCTGAAGGACCTTTGTATTGGAAGTCTCTTTCAGGACATGCAACACAAAAAGGATAATTACCGAATGTAAAAACAATTGCAAACAGAATTTGGTAGAATGAAATATGAATAACAAAAATATGCATTTACCAGCAAAATCAGGTTTGAAGAATGAAATTTTTTGTTTATTGAAACAAAATAGAAAGTTTACAAAATAAAATTGCGTTTTCTGAAATAAAATATTTAATTTACAAAATTAAATCTCGTCTAGTGAATATTTGATAACTTGTCTTGTGAAAAATGCAGAGAAAATTATCAACTCAAAAACTGTTAATCAAAATACTTTAATTAAGCGTCACTCTAATTTAGGCTATAGGAAAAAGTGAAAGGCCTTAATTTGGTTCTAAAATAGGCGTAAAAGTCAACGCAGTATTCCCCTGTCCCTTTCGACTTTGAGCTATGAAAAAAAAAATTGAAGTTCAAAATCAAATCGTTCAATTTTTCGTGGCAGTCCATGTCCATGTCTTTCACGCAATACACGAGATCTCGCAGTTGTGCGGAAAATTACTTTTACTTAACCAATCAGATGATGGATATCGCCAAGTTTTTGAATTTCCATAGTTCATAGTTCAATTAAATAATTAATGAGAGTTCAGTGACCTCACTGAATGGCAAATACTACATGGAAGAGATTTTAATACCAATGTTGTAGTATGATGATTTGGCATTGATTTCAGAGGGAAAACAGCATGATTTTTTTTAATCAGGAAATTAGTAATAATGAAC